CTCACCAGAATTACTTGAGATGGGTCACAACAACCTTATTATGGGAACATTTGGCATTACTGAAGGAGCAATTCCCTTTATGATGAAAGCCCCTCAGTTAATTATTGTTAACGTCATCGGTGGTGCGCTTGGCTCCGCAACTGGGGCATTTTTAGGAGTTAAATCTCATATACCGCCTTTAGGTGGCTTACCTGGAATTTTAACCGCAGATAATATTGTTGCTTACTTAGCCGGTATTTTTGTCTGTGCTGTCTTCATTGCAGTTGTTGCCCCGTTAATTGCCGACTTTACGGATCAAGATTCAGCGGGCGAAGAGTCAATGAATGATGATGAAATTGAGTTAAATATCGAATAATTATGTAACTAAAACTATAGTTTGGAACAATTAAACAATTGCTAGCTATAGTTTTTTTATAGGAGAGAAAATGTCTAAAAAAGTTTATGTGGTCCCTCATACCCACTGGGATCGGGAATGGTTTTTTACGTCATCTAAAGCAAAAGTTTACTTAATGAAAAACCTCCAAGATGTACTTGATTGCCTCGAAAAAGGTGGTGCCTTTAAGTCATTTTTATTAGATGGACAATCATCACTGATTACGGATTACCTTAAATGGCGTCCGCAAGATACTGAACGCGTTAAGCAGTTAGTGCAAGAAGGAAAATTAGCGCTAGGTCCGTGGTATACGCAGACCGACCAATTTTTACCTTCAGGCGAAAGCATTGTTAATAATCTGCGTATTGGCATTAAGCAAAGTGATCGTCTTGGCGGTCATCTGCCAGTTGCGTATGTACCCGATTCTTTTGGTCAGGAATCCAGTATGCCGCAAATATACCGCGGCTTTGGTATCAAGGATGCGGTTTTATACCGCGGGTTTTGTCAAGGTACTGCTTCTCAATCTGAATTTATCTGGCGTGGCGAAGATAATTCAGAAGTTACCGTCTTTCGCATGGCGTGTGGCTATTTTGTTGGTGGTGTAATTGATGAAACTAAGCTGGCACAGTTAATGACGCAAGAGCCATTCAAAACCATTGTCCAGCAAGCAACAACGTCCAATATTTTATTTCCTAATGGCTCGGACATGGCTCCAATCCGATTTGATTTGCCAACTTTTATTACCAAACTTAAGCGAGCCAATCATCACAAATTTGATTTTGAAGTTAGCTCTTTAACTGATTACATTGCGGCCGTTAAAAAGCAGCAGCCACAACTAGTAGCACTAGACGGTGAACAGGATAGCGGTAAGGACATGCGCGTGCATAAGTCGATTTCTTCTTCACGGGCTGATTTAAAAAAGATGAATACCAAGTTGCAGAACTATTTAAGCAACGTTATGCAACCTGCTCTCACGCTAGGTGATTATTTAGGCATTGATTATCCTCGCAACGCTATTAATGATTTATGGCAGAAAATGTGTAAAAATGCTGCGCATGATTCAATGGGCAACTGTGTTTCTGATCAGGTTAATGAAGATATTAAAAGCCGTTATGTTGCAGTTAAGAAACGGCTACCAGTTAGTGGAGGTGACTTTGAGGCAAATTAGCTACGCAAATTCAAAATGACAACCATCCAATCACCTTGACGGTTTTTTAATCTTTTACCAAAAGTCCGTGGAGGCAGTGTAAGCCAGGCCATTATTCACCTAGCCGCAACTTTTTAATTCAAGATGCGACGGGTAAAAATGTGCCTTATGAGGTTAACGCAATTGAAGATGTAACTGAGTTGGTTAATTCGGCAACGATTCAACTTAATCCTGGTCAAAAAATATATCGTCCAGCAAAAGTATATCGCTTGCAGCTTGATTTTCAATTTGACAACCTCCCCGCATTCGGCTACCAGCAGTTTTACCTTATTCCACTTGTCGATCAAGAAATAGCTTTGACTAGTCGGAAAACCGGTCGGACGATTGCAAATGAATTCTACCGCATTTCAGTCAATGATGACGGTAGCCTTAATATATTGGATAAAATGAATCAGCACTTATATCAAAATCAAGCCATTATTGAAGAAAATGGGGATGCCGGTGACTCTTATAACTATTCCCCAGCCAAAAAGGATTTAGTAATTTATTCAACAAGTCAAAAATATCAAGTGCAAGTTGCTTCCAATAATTTAGTTCAAAAACTACGGATTGATTTTGCATTCTTAGTACCAGGGGATTTGGCCAAACGTTCGCAGGGCATTGTTAATACTCTAATGCCAGTTCAGCTTGAAGTGAGCCTACACAAGAAGAGCAAAATTATTAACTTTAAAATTAAGGTTGATAATACTCTGCCTAAAAGTCATCGATTATGTATTGACTTTGCTAGCGGCATAGTTGCTAAAACTAGTATTGCTGACATTCAGTTTGGCACGATTAAACGACCACGGGTTAAAGAGCAGGAATTGAATGAATGGCACCACAAGCAAGCTGAATGGCAAGAAAAACCAGTTTCAATTAATACAATGCAGAGTTTTGTTGCTTTAGCAGATAAAAAGCGCTGTTTGGCACTTGCACCTCAAGGCGTACGTGAATATGAATGTATTGGTTTGGATAATGCCACGGTGCGATTAACCATTTTTCGTACTTACGGGATGCTGGGCAAACGAGATTTACTGTATCGTCCAGGACGTGCTTCGGGAGATGAAACAGTGCCAACTCCCCAAGCACAACTCAACCATAAATTAGACTTCGAGTTGGCACTGATTACGGAACAAACTGGTTTTGATCAAAGCGATTTGGCTAATGAAGTAAAGGACATGGAAACACCGCTGCAAGTCTATGAGTACGCAGAATTTTTGAACGGGCGCTTAACTTTTCCGTTTAATCCTGTTTTTAGAACTTATAAATCTGATTTTTAGCTGGTTTCAGACAACTAACCAGTTGAGTATAAGTACGATTGAAAAAGATCCAGAGCGTAAAGGCTATGCAATCAGGTTTTATAATCCAAAGTTCATTCAGTTCAAGAACGTATTATCTTTAATAAACAACCGCGAGTAGTCAAACTAGTTGATTTAAGCGGCAAAACAACCGCGGAGTTAGCAATTGAAAAGCAGCAAGTAGTTTTGCCGCGAATAACACATGCTAAGTTAATGACAGTCTATTTTGAATATTAGGAGAAATGATGGTTAAAGCATATTTTGTAAATCATACCCATTGGGATAGGGAATGGTATTTCACCACGCAGGATGCCCAAGTATTAAGCGACCAACTTTTTACGGAAGTTTTAGATGAACTTGAGCAACATCCAGAAGCCAATTTTACGCTTGATGGGCAAATGTCAATTGTAGATGATTACGTAGAAATTCATCCGGAAGCCCAAGCAAGAATTCACGCGTTAGTTGAACGCAAACAATTGTTTATTGGGCCTTGGTATACCCAAACTGACGCCTTGATACCAAATGCGGAATCATTATTACGCAACTTAATTATTGGCATTTTTGATGCACGGGCAAATTACGGCGAACCGATGATGCTAGGTTATTT